ACACTGTTCAGGAATGACTTTTAAGTCATTTAGTCAGGTTCGTTTTCTCCAGCTTTTAGCTTTGTCTCCTGCAGGGTCGGCCTGGCTGGAGGAGAAGGCAGTAAGAAGAGATCTTCATTTGGCCAGGCCCTAGATGTGGTTGCTGAGAGCAAAAAAGGTTTTGGAGGGGAGGTCAGAACAAAGGTGGTGGGAACAGGTTTTCGGGAGTGAATATGACTCCCAAGACATGATCAGAGAATGGGTCAGTGACTCGGAATCTCGTAAGAGACAGATGGTGCCAGTGGAGTCCAGTCACGTGGCCAGACTTGGGGTTTGGATTCCAGAACCAAAGAAGCAAAAAGCAGATAGACAGGAATGGATGTCACGCCTGAACTCTGAGCCCAGGGTGAGCAAAGCCTGAGCAGCTGGTTTAGGTTTTAACCCAGGTGAGGTTAAACAGGATTGTTCACTTATGGCTTTTCTTTATAAAGCTGCATGCACTCTGTAGCCAGCATTCTCCACTCCCACATTCTAAGGAGCCATTGCAACTGTCAGTAAGAACAAGTGGAGAGAGAGCAGATGTCAGCCCTCAGTGGCCCCTCAGCCAGTAAACAACTTATACATGGTGGCGAGAAGAAATGCCTCCCTGATTCTTGACAAAAAGCTACTCTCACAATATGGCACATGAGTTTAATTTTTAAGCATGTTTCTTTGCTGATGAGAATAAAGTTTTGTTAAAATCACAAGAGATTGGCATAAGAAAATAAACAGCCAAGGAAAGTTGAGGATAAAGTGCATTGTTCCAGTCAGTGAGTCACAGTTACGGGCAGACTTCAGAAGCTGCCACACCTCTGCACTTCCGCTCTGTAGACACACTGTGAGTAAGTGGGGAAAACTCACCGCGGGAATTAGCCCTGGGATACAAGACAGCTAAGCTGACCTCTGAGCTGCAGAGTGAGCTAATTTGGCAGCCACTTGCTGACCAGTGACATTCCATGCTCTTCCACGCCCCTGGGTAGCACCAATACCCAAGTGCTTCTGTCAGGAGGGGGCAAGAGGAAAACTGCTCTAGAACAGAAGAGATACCTTCTAGAAGGGAAACATTCAAAGTGGGGATAGAGGGGAGAGTATTGTCACACTATAATTCACGGCTCCTTCATAATCTGGCTTTTATTTACTGCTTCTGACTCCACTCAGTCATTTATTCATTCAACAAATATTTATTGAATTAACTGAGCTAGGTGCTGAGCAGCTGGTGATCAAAACAGATAAGGTCCCCTGTCTCATATGCCCTTCAGCAGGAATCAGACAATCACTTGCACAATATGAATGTGACGTTGTAATCATAATCATGCTTCAAAAGAGAGGGATCTGATGCTATGAAAGAATGAAAGAGGGCATTTGACCTAGTTAGGGAGCTCAGCTCAGGTTTCCTGGACAGAACTGGAATTTGAAGGAAAAGCAAGTAAGAATCAAAAAGAGAAGAGGTTCCAAGCAGAGTGACAGCAAGAGAAAAATTCGCTTCAATGCCCCTCAATGCTGAAACTCTTAACACTTCATGTCTAGTTTCTTGAGAACATGATAGAACATGATATAGTAACAAACAATGGAATTTGGAGTCCGTTGGTCTCATTCCAACAATATGACAATACACAACCTTGAAAAAGTTACTTAGATTTTCTAAGCCTTAGTTTTGCCACCCATAAAATAGACATGATAAAACCCATCACATAATAAATGTTAGTTCCTACCCACATTGGCTAATTTTCATAATCTTTCTGAGACTCAGCATCTTCCTTGGAAAGCAGAAGTAACGATTATGCCTGCATCAGGGAATTAACATTTAAATGGATTCATTTGTAAACTCTAAAGCATTATGTAATTATCAGGTATTATTAATCACTCATGAAGTATTGGTGAGGCTGACTATAGAGCAGACCCGGTGACAGGTACTGGAGAAATGGAAGGTTGAATGATGCACAGCCTGCCTTCACGAGAGAGTTGCTGAAAGAGAAATTCCTTCTTTTCCCTGGCCCAGAGAAAAAGGCAGCACGGGCAGAGGGAAAGGCCTCTGTGGCCTGCACAGGAACCCAAGTTCCTGGCACTTGGCCCTCCCTGGGGGATATTTGATACCTTTCCCCACAGCCATCAGCTGAGAGCTTGCCCAGACTGTGTGACCCTAGGGACAGGGTTACAGGATGGATTTCCATATCTTCAAAATAAGCAGACAAGAGATTCTTATGACAAACAAAAAATAGCTTGAGTGTACCAGGGATGTAGTTCTGCTGACGGATGGAGAAGGCTGCCAAGGATAAGGAGAGAAAAATCACTACAGATTTCTTGCTTCCCCTGAAAGCAGGTTGAACAATCCAGATTCTCTGATTTCCAGCCCGGCCAGCCAGGCCTCCCTCTTTCAAGCTCCTTTTGTCTTATTTTCCTCTTCCTTCTGAGAAACATAAAATGAGTAAGAGGTGGAAGATCCCTTGCCCAACCATGATTCAGGAGAAAGCTCAGCCAAAGAACAGGCAAGTGTGGCATCGCCTAGTGGACTTGTAGAGGCAGGTCTCAGAGCCACCCCTGATTTTGCAAAGAAGGCACCTCTTTCATCACACGTTCTAGGACCTTCAAGTTCAGGAAGAAACTCTCTGCTTCTCCACTGACGACTTGGCACAATGTGCCCTGCAGGACCAGTGTGAGTAAACAGGAGGCTTCTCTACAACATGACCCACAGGGACAATGCAGGTCCTGTTTGCAGCCTGAAGTTTGTGACTCTCCTGGTGGCTCTAAGTCCAGAGCTCCTATTCCTGGGAGCCGGAGTGCAGCTTCAAAACAATGGGTATGATGGATTACTCGTTGCAATCAATCCTCAGGTATCCGAGGATCAGAACCTCATCCCAAATATTAAGGTGAGTGGAAGTATGAAGTCAAAACTATTGTCCCATTAGATCAGACCTGTAGCCTTCTTTAAGGAGCTAACAACACTGCCTGGTTTGTAATTTGAGCAGTAAAGGGAGCAGTGTTTCTTAAAGGTTGCACCCAAATTTATAATTATGGCCAAGCCAGTTTGTCTGCCTAATTTTCTGTAACTGTTGATCTAGTCCTCTTTTATTTGTTGTTGTTGGTTACTGCTAATTTTAGTGAGGTTTTTTGCTTTCCTACATTACTGTCTCGGGGGAAGCAGCTTTAAAAATAATGCATTGTGGCAACAAAGACCAGATGTTTGACGAATAAGCATGATTGTGCTTATTAAAATCATGTTGTTGGATTCCATCCTGAGGGTGAGAATTCTCAGACAGAAAGAGTAAGAATTTGGATGGAATGCCAAAAAGCAAAATTCTTTCTTTTCACCTGAATGTTCTGTAAAATAATTAACTATTTTCACCTTATCATAAGGGAGGATCATAGCTCCATTACAGAAAAGCCACCTTTTGCTAATGCTTTAGTGAAATCAGTATCGTCATAAGGTATGGTCTTGAACATGCCCACAGGTGTGACATGAAAAGGATTTGTTTAGTAAAAGCTTAAAAGCTTTTCACAAAATTGAGAAAATTATATAGGCAAGCCCAAACATATAATTAGTGTCCTAAAATCTCTACTAGAAAACCATGTGAAGTTCATTCATTTTGCTCCTAAGTTTTCTCAAAGTCTAATGCTGTCTCTAAAAGAAATGGGTTCGTTCCTCCAAAATATTTTCATTATTTGTTATTACTACTTTATTCAACTGTAACCCCCAAACTCAAACATAAAAGATTTACAAGTGATAAAATAAGCTTTTCTTTTATTTGACTATAGGAAATGATAACTGAAGCTTCTTTTTACCTATTTAATGCTACCAAGAGAAGACTGTTTTTCAGAAATATAAAAATTGTAATTCCTGCCACATGGAAAGCTAATAATTATAGCAAAGTAAAACAAGAATCATATGAAAAGGTAAGAATTTAGAATTTCATTAAATGAGCTTAAATCAAGGGAAAAGAACAATCAAAATATACTGTGTTCAAACTTTAAAAGTGAAAACTTAAGCAAAACAAGTAATTGATATTAACACACAAATAATATTATTGGGAAGATTGTTATCCACAAAATATATACAAATATAATAAATGAGTATTTTGAGTATAATGAGTATAATAAATTATGCAGTAAAAAGTAAGCAAAATGCCATTGTCCAGTTAGTCTCTCAGAAGAACTCTTTACTTTGTAACTTATAGGGTCTTTCCTGAAATTTTTGGTTAAGGACTAAAAACTAAAAACTGAGTATGAGCTGTAAAGAAAATAATTCCAAATAAGACTGTCTTCCCTTCCCATCCTGTCAGAGGCAGTAAACATGTATGTCCAGACAGAAAGATAAACCACCCACACATATAAAAATATGACTGTCTTCTCCTGCCGGAGTGTAAATTAGCAAAATTTCACATTACCCCCAAGTCCAGGACACTGTTTTTGAGGAGTATGTTGATAAGAAGGAAGGCAGAGAGTGGGGAGGGATGGAGTGGCTATCTTTTCTTTTCCAACCGAAATAGAACTTAACCTTCAAGGGATTCTCATAAGCTGCAGATCATAATTAAATATCCATGATAATGTCTGACACATCCAGGTATGCGTGCTATAAATAAATGTTAAATAAATCTGACAAATGACTGAAGTCACTGTGAACAACAGACCCAACAGTTACCAGTAGGGGCAGGAGCAGAGGCATTGAGAAGGTTCGCTCAGGGCTTCAGTAATGGAGTGGGTTCTAGATCTGAAACTACAGCTCAAACAGAAGGACTAGGATATGTGGTGCAGTTTCCCCTTTTCTTATTTGTGTCATTGGTGTGACATGTTCTAAGCCTGTTTTAATTCTTAGCTCGCCTTTGAAGTTATTCTCATGGTAATTAGGTGGTGTGGTAATCTAGACAGGGATCCCAGTGTCCCAAAGAGGCAGCAGAGGCTCTTAAAAGCATTTGATTTACGACCAGATGAAAGCATTTGACAGTGCTTGGGCATAGAGATAGGAGAGATAGGGGAACTGGGGTACACTTGGAAGAGAGCTACTGTTTTTTAAGCTTCAACTAAGGGCCAGGCATTCCACATATATGGTTTAATTCCTTCACACACACCCTAAAATTAGTTGCTGTTATCACAAATTAAGAAATTGAGGCTCAAATAAAGTAAGGATTTTGTCCCAAGCCCAACAGCTAGGAAATTACAGAGCCACAATTTGAATCCCTGTCTAGCGGATTCATAAACCCATGTTCTCTGCACTCAGCTATGATGTTTCTAGCTATCTATATAGATCACATTAACCAATATGGCCATCTGTGGAAGAAAGAACTATTGGAGATAACCAACCCCCAAACCACATAGTACTCCTGGTCCTAATGAAGAAATAAATAACTAAAGCAAAAATGAGAATATGGCTGAACAGAAAGATTAAAGGAAAGAAGTTATTGAAGTTTGTTCATATATCTGTTGGATACCAATACCTTCAACCTCATGATGTCAATTAAGCAAGCACTTGGTGAATGGTCATTCTGTCCAGAAGCCATGTTAGGTACTGTAGAGGACTCAAGGACAAGCAAGGTGATTCCTGTCCCTGTGAATCTACAGTTGGTAGGAAACAGAGGAGAGGACAAAGGGTTAGGAAAAGTAGGCATGAGCAGCATTACTATGGTCTATAAGGCAGAATGCGACCCTGAACAGCCCAAGTACTCCATCCCACGCAGAGCTTTCTTTCCCTTTTGCTTCAGGGCAAATTTCCAGAAATAGGAATGAGGTTTTGTTCAAAGACTATGCAGGGGCATGATATCTGCAGTTCTTTTTGTAGGTGTTGCCTTGCAAATCTCTTGGCTTGAATTCCTATCTTTCTAAGAGGGTGCCAGAGGGTGCCAAAAAATGTATACACATTTTAAGAAAGGAAAAGCTGTATTAAAATAGTAATACTCAATATATACTGACAACAAAAGATGAATACAAGTCACGTTTGACTTCTACAATTACAAGAGTTGCTCAAAGTGGTTACCATCAGTGTAATTTTAATACAATTTTTTTTTCTTTTCTTAAACTGTGTATACATTGTTTTGACACCCTCTGTATGTGTGTGTGTGTGTGTGTGTGTGTGTGTGTNAAAATACACAAGTATTTCTAAAATAGGCCCAATTTTTCTTTCTATTTTTAGGTGTTCATCTGACATCACAGGCATGTTTGTATGTGAAAGAGGCCCTTGCCCCCAAGAAAACTGTATCATTAGTAAGCTTTTCCAAGATGGATGCATGTTTATCTACAATAGGACCCAAAATGCAACAGCATCAATAATGTTCATGCAAAGTTTATCATCTGTAAGTATGGCCTTGGAATGATAAACTCCTACAAGATTCCAGCTCTTTTCACGATAGACTGATGCTTATGTTTTAATTATTTAAACAGAAAGACAAGATTCACTAAATTTTAGAGCTTGGGGGAACTTGGAGTTCAAGTAGTTTTTATTTTACAGATTAAAAACAAAATGGAGGCCCCAAAGATGATCACCAAAAATAGATTCCTTTAGAAAAGTGATTATTTCTTTCCAGGGAAGGTGATTTAACAAGGGGAGCTTTGTAGATCTCAAAATAAAGTGCTCATAGGTGGTGTTCCTGTATCCTTTCATAGGAAAAGGTTAATGAGAGTGATATAACACATGATTATGATTCTGTTCTATGAGGTAGTAACTCATTCTGAATTTTACCTTCTAGTTCTCTTTACCTTGTTTTGCATAGTCTAGAACTTAAAAAGAAAAGTCAGGTGCTACCAAGGGAAGTCAACTAACCTACCTAGATTTGCATGTTTAGAAACTCAACCTTGTCAGCATTGCACACTAATTGACAAGAGACTAGTGTATAAATCCATAACATCATTTTAAAAATTATTATTTTAAAAGAGTACTCTGTCATGAGGATCTAACACTTGCCTCTTCAGGCCAGTTCCTTTTCTCTCTGAAGGAAGCAGCATGAAACAGCCAAATTCTCACCTGAAGCCTGTTCTAAGAGCATGGAGTCAGAAAGGAGAGAGTTAGATAACACAGAGGTTTAGTGGCATCAGCCTATGTCTCTGTATCTTCACAAAACCCTGAAGGTCAAGTGTATGGGCCATCTCTTCTCCATGGAGCTTGGAGTAGTGTGGACATGTGCCTCTGTGAAGTTTTCTGTTTCCATGGCTGACCAATGCCCCTTGGACTGACACATTCTTTTTTTATATAATATTTTTCTTCAGTCTGGTTTTAGTCAAGTCTACGTGTCATGTTTTAACTTTGAAGTGATTTTTCATATTTCCTGCCCAATCCACTGTNATTACAATGTATTTCTTTTAATTTAGGCAAATGTCATAGTGACTAATTGGTATGGGGCACATGGAGGTGATCCATATACCCTACAATACAGAGGGTGTGGAAAAGAGGGAAAATATATTTATTTCACACCTGACTTTCTACTAAATGATGACTTAACAGCGGGCTATGGATCACGAGGTAAGTGTGACCCATCAAGAACTAGACATTGGACTGTATTATTTACAATATTCTCTGCTTAATACCAAAAGGGACTCGGAGAACCCGAAACCTTCCAAAGACTTACCATATGGATGGGGAGAGAGGCCACATGCCCATTAAAAAATGAGGGACAAAGTGAGCCAGAAAGAGTTAAGCATCAGATTAGTGGTCCAGACAAGGAGTACTCTAAGAATGTAGTGAAAGGAGAGAACATTTTGAGCTGAGGATGGTCAGAAATGGCCTCATGAAGCAGAGGAACTTCAAGGTTGAATATCATTTTGATAAAAGGAGAGAAGAGACAGAACAGTGGAAAGAGTATGAATAAATCTGTGGCAGAACAGTCCAGGGCATATTTGAGAGATGGGGGCTGTAGACCCTGTCAATGGGGCAGAGTGACTGTGGGTAGCGACATAGTGGAAGAAAATGCTGAAATGCACATGGGGGTAATTGGTGGGGAGCTTCAAATGCTCAAATGAGTGAGTCACCACTGAAGGCTCATAAGCACAGGAGTGCCACCATCAAAACAGTATTTTAGGATGATGAATCGGGCGTGTGTATTATCTGGCTTCCTCAGATCAATGAGGGAGAAACTGGATATCAAGAGAAAAATGAAGAGAAGTCCAGGTACGAGGCCATGAGATTTGAATGTGGAGGGAGTGAGGGGAGAAGGACAGGAAAGATAGTGATAAGAACAAAGAGAATTTTCTATGTGCTAGGTGCTGTGCTGTTTGCCTTTCAACTATCTTGTTATCTTGCTTAATCCTAACAACTCTAAATGATGAGAGATATTCCAGAAGGGAAAAAGAGAACTAGAGGCCTGAACTGCTACAGAGTGAAAGACAAGGGGGATGTGTGGGTGGCATTAAGGACAAAACAAGTTTGGGACAGAAACAGAAGGGACTGAAGGGGAAATGCACAAGTCTGGCTTGAGGCCCGCTGATGTGAGGAGCACTGGACTATCCTGGTGGAAAAGCTCAGCCTGTGGTGAGATGTAGGTGGTTGGAGTTTGGGAGCCAACGTCATACGTTTGGAAACTGGCTGAGGTCTGAGGGAGAAATTGTAGTGAGAAGAGATCAGCAGCTCAAGGATTAACCATCCCATTCTTAATTTTTGTTTTTGATTTTAACATACAGTAGCACCTTTCAAATGACAATTTCATTTTTACCCCCATTTACATCTAAATAGAGTCTGTCTCCTCTGTATAGCTAGTAGGGAGTGGAACAACACACACTATAAAACACACTTTATAAAGCACTTAAAAATGTTATAAGAGTATTTTTCCTGGTAGCTATGAGATGCTGATAATCTCTGCATAAACAAATAACTTCATCAGCACTTCCAAATTCCATGAATAGGCACAAATATTTCCTTAACACTTTCAGCTTAGACTGTTCCCCTCCCTTCCTTTGTGCAGAGCTCCCCAAATTGCACAATATGCTGCAGCCTGAGTCAACTCAGCAAACGCTTCCTGGGTTCCCAAAACTGAAAAAATTCAGACAAAAGAAAAGTGC